GGCTGTAGACCGGGCGCCGAAGGAGCGACTGGGTCCCCGGGGCGAAAGTGCTGGTAAAGCTTGGCGGACGGCGCAAGTAGACCTGCTCGTGCAAATTGCCCTGAAGAAAAGCTGTCGAGAAGTCGAGAGAGTGTAGCTCATAGTCATACTGTGCTGCTACATGTAGCAGCGCCCGAACAGTAGTCATCTTCGGGGTCTGGGCAAAGGTTTGGAAGAAGTCCACACCCTCGCACTGACTGAAGCTTCTAGCCACGTAGCGCACCTTGAACACAGGCGACTCCCCAAAAGGGCGCTTCACCTTGAAGAGCCACCGACCAGGCCTTCGTTCACCCCAGGTAGGGGAACTGCGTCGACGAAGGTGCCAGTGGATCTCCAAGATGTCATCTCCGCGTCCATGGCAGATATCCAATGGGAGGCCCAGGTTCCCGAGGTCATCTCAGCGTAGGTGCTTGGGGTCGGGATGTCGAAGGCGTCTGGGTCCCCCTCAGGGACTAGCAGCATGGAGAAGAGATGAGGCACGGCCTCGGACAGGAAAGCTAGCTCGTACTGCCGATCCTCCAGGATGTCATTGCCAAGGGCAGGAGCACCCCCAATGGACAGAAGACGGACAGGGTCAGAGACCAGAGCGGTGGCGTAGTCAAGGCAGCAGGTAGAGGCGAATTGTAGACTTGAGCGATAGTAGCGACAAGAGCGTCAAGACTCGAGACACGAACAGATGGGTCGGTAGCGAGGGAGGCAAGGACCCGAGGAACAAGAGGACTAGTGGCACGAATGTAGTCAGACAGAGGAGGCGGAGCGACAACAAGCGACGGCGGAGGAGGCGAGGGGAGGAGGGAAGGACGAGATGCGTGGGAACGAAGCAACATCGGGTGAGAGCGCAGGACAAGAGAGGCTGGACAAGCACGAGAGGGACGACGAGACCAGAAGTAAGACGGAGGCGTCGGGTCAGGAGACAGAGGAGGAGTCACAGGAGGAGAACAATGGGGGAAATGAGCTGGAGACGAGTCCGGCGGAGGAAACACATGATCGTAGATAGGCAGGGGAGGCAGCGGCAGGGGAGGCGCAGGCGGGTGGTCAGGGGAGAGAAGGCCGAGCAGGTGAAGGGCGGACACCGGGGGCGACTGCTGCTGCTGCTGCTCTACGCCAACACTAGAACCTCCAGCTGCACCACGGCTACCTCAGGAACGCTCCACTCCAGCACCCCCAGAAAGAGAACCCTCTCCAGCACCAGTGCCACCCCCGAGACCGCCGGGACAAGCCACGACAGTAACCCCAGAACTAGCACCCCCTGAACCAGCACTCCCAGAACGAGAACCCTCTCCAGCACCGGTTCGGTGCCGGGACGAGCCACAACAAGAACCCCAGGACTAGCACCCTGCTAGACGAGACCACCCACATTTGGGGCAGCCCGATCGTCTATATAGACCTGCACCAATGGATGGTTGTCGAAGGTAGCGGCGGGGACCCACATGTCGTTGTCACACGTACGGTCAACCCATCGAACTAGAAATTCCAAAACCCGTTGACTTTGGTCTCGGCGGATTGTGTGGGAGAGGATTTGCTGTGGTTTGGTGATTGGCTCGGGGATGGATCTGATCGAAGGGTAGATTATTTGACAGTCGAGATCAGCCGTGTTTGTGATGAGCTGTTGGAGGAGGCTGACGTGGAATGAATCATGGATACGCCAGTCGTCAGGTAATAGTAGCTTGGTGGTGACATGTGTTACCATTCGAATAATCCGGAAGGGCCCACACAATCTGGACGAAGTTTACGTGGTAAACTCAACCCTGAATTCTTGGTGTGTAGAAGGACTAGTTGCCCAGGTCACAGGGGTAAATCCTGTTGATGCCTGTGCGCATACTGTTGGCCGTAAGGTTGGCTTTTGAGATAGCCTCGGTAGCGTTTTTCTGTGCCGTCTGTAAGTCCTTGACGAACTGCTGCGACCGTGGGGCAGGACTCTCAACTAACGGTGTAGTGGGATTCGTGGGGTTTAGACCGTAATTCAGGTAGAACGGTGATTGGGCAGTCGTGGACAAAGGGGCGTTGTTATACGCGAACTCGATCAAGGGAAGGGAATCTTCCTTTTGGCTCGGATCGGTACAGGTTGTTTGTATCAGCTGCTCCATGGTCTGATTTGTCCGTTCAGTCAGACTGTCGGTCTGTGGATGGTAAGCCGTGGACAGATGGAGACGTATACCATACGGATCCCACATTTTTGTCCAAAAGTTGGAGGTGAATGGGGGGTCACGATCGCTCACGATCGCCTTCGAGATTCCGTGTAGGCGAACGACGGTTGAGATGAACAGCTTGGCAGTTTGCTCGGCTGTGATCGTCGTTCGGCAGGGCACGAAATCAACCATTTTTGTGAGTCGATCAACGACCACAAGTACAGCATCATTCTGGGATGCGCCGATCGGCAGTCCTGTCACAAAGTCCATGGACACGTCCAGGGCTTGGTGGGCGGTTCTAGTGGTTGCAGTAATCCAACGGGCTTTTGGCGAGAGGATTTCATCGGTTGGCATGTGGGACATACATATTGCTGTACGTCGTGGCTCGCGTTTGGCTAGTAGTAATGACGTTGGAGCATTCTCAAGGTTTTATCAACCCCGAAATGTCCTGAGCAATTAGCGTCATGAACCTCCTGTATCAGTAATTCCTGTAACAGTCGGTAGGATGGAACCCAAATTCGCTCAGTACCAGCTTTTAAGTGGTAGTGGCCTCGTTGAGTGGTCAGGACCTGGTGACTGTTAGAGGTTAAGAGCACATCAGTATTGTAGCTGTGGGTAAACATTCCAGTTAGCAGCGGGTTAGCTTGGGCAACTAGTACGACGGCTGTATGGGCATTTGGGTGGGAAAGTGTCACAGGATCGAATGACTCGAGGAAAGGTTGCACTATCGATCAGTATCGGTGTGCAAGCACGGATTCGACCTCGTACTCGGGTTCATTCTGGACGAGGACGAGAGGTGGCGGCGGCGGTTGGCGTCCGACGAAGATCGTGTTGGGATCCCGATAGGGCTTCAGAAGTTGGACATGGAAGGCGTTGTGAATCTTCCAGGTAGCTGGCAGGCGTAAGCGGAAGGTAACAGGAGTAACCTATGCTTCAACGAGAAAAGGCCCGCAGAAGCGAGGTCGTAGTTTAGTTGGGAGGTGGCGGATGTCCAGGTTGCGGGTGTCAAGAAGCACCTCGTCTCCCACTGTGATGGTGTGGTCGTTGCGATGGCGATCGGCCTGGCGCTTTTGATGCTGCTGAATGTCGAGGAGGCGCTTGTGGGTCCCATCCCAAAGCTGATGCATGGTTGTGATGAAATCATGCGCAGGTTGGACTGTAGCAAATGTGGTCGGTTTCTGTGGTGTGAGTGGGTGGCGTCCGTAGTAGAGGAAGAACGGCGTCTTTCCAGTAGCGGCATGTGTAGCGTTATTGTAGGCAAACTCCAGAACGGGCAGGTGCAGGTCCCATTTGGAGATCTCGTCCTTGAAGGCTGCTCGAAGGAGTTTCTCAACAATTTGGTTGAGGCGCTCGGTCTGTCCGTCTGTCTGCGAATGGTAGGCGGATGACATGGCGAGTTTGGTCCCGAGAAGAGACATAAGTTCCTTCCAGAACTTGCTGGTGAACTTGGGGTTTCGGCCTGAGATGAGTGTGGTTGGGATGCCATGCTGTGAGATGATGTAACGAACGAAGAGTTGTGCTGTCTCCTTGGTGCGTGCCGTCGTGTGTGTCGGGATGAAGTGTCCCATTTTGGAGAACTTGTCGATGACGACACGGATTGCGTCATGACCACTAGTGGTAGGTGGTAACCCGGTGATGAAGTCCAGGCTAACCACTTGCCATGGTTGTTCTGGGACAGGAAGAGGCTGCAGTAGTCCCGCCTTTTTCTGCTTGCTGCTCTTCATCCGCTGACATGTATCACACGAGGTGACAAACTTCTGAACATCCTCTGCCAAGTGGGGCCAGTAGTAGTGTTTTGCGATACCGGTCAGCCTCTTGTTGCTACCGAAGTGTCCGGCGTATAGGACGTCATGGTATTCTTCGAGTAGTAACTGGCGCAAAGGAGGGTAATTGGGTACCCATATTTTTGTTGATCCTTTTCGGTACGCGATATCACTGTCCCACTGTAGCAGATGTCGTTTTTCAGCCAAGGGAATTTTGGGGTCGATGGCGTACCCGTGTGTGAAGAGTCCCTTGAGTAGTGGATTCATCCCTTCAATCTGAATGGCGGCAACGTGTGCAGGCCGGCTAAGAGTGTCTGCTTTGTTTTTGTGGCCGGGCTTGTACACGATGTCGTAGTGGAAGTGTGTCTCGAGGAAGTCGATCCACCGAACCTGTCGCTTGGAAAGGTTGGGTTGTGTCTTCAAATATTTCAGGCTGCAGTGGTCGGTGTAGACGGTTGTTCTTCGTCCTTCGAGATAACATCTCCATGCTTTGAAGGCGATGACGATGGCGAGGGCCTCTTTGTCGTGTATCGGGTAGTTTAGTTCTACCCCGTGCAGTTTCTTGCTGAGGTAGGCGATTGGTTGCAGTCCATTTCCTTGGTCTTGTTGGTTAGAGAATGCTATAAGCAGATGATTCAATGGCTCCTTGGAAATTTCTGCAGCACTTCGTTATGACGCCCAGAAAACTCGCGACCTTCGAAAAGCTATATCCAAAACTCCAATCGATGAAACGATCTGAAAATCGGATATGTTGTAGCTTGCAGCGTCAGCTGTCCTCTGAAAGTCCTTGAAAGTCCTCTGAAAGTCCTCTGAAAGTCCTCTGAAAGTCCTCTGAAAGTCCCCTGAAAGTCCTCTGAAAGTCCTCTGAAAGTCCTCTGAAAGTCCTCTGAAAGTCCTCTGAAAGTCCTCTGAAAGTCCTCTGAAAGTCCTCTGAAAGTCCTCTGAAAGTCCTCTGAAAGTCCTCTGAAAGTCCTCTGAAAGTCCTCTGAAAGTCCTCTGAAAGTCCTCTGAAAGTCCTCTGAAAGTCCTCTGAAAGTCCTCTGAAAGTCCTTGAAAGTTCAGCAACAGCCAGCCGACTTCCTTACCAAGCGGCTAGCTGAAGAGCCACACTGGCGCTGTGCGAGAATGGCGGGAATGTCCTTGAACTAGAGACGGCGAAACAAGCCGACAGTCTGAGGGGGAGTGTGTTGGTGCATATTCGTTTGCACGTCATCCTGTCGTCTGTTCGCATCATTTCGTTGCATGTGTTTTGTGTGCTACGTTGTTTGTGTGGTTTGTTGGGTTTGCATGTCTTTGCATATTCATCTTGTGCTTGTGCAGATGTGCTTGGATTGTACATCAGATCGAGCGCATTCCAACGAGCCAAGAATTGTTGGAATCGGAGCACATATGAAGAAGTTACGAAGAAATGTTTGACCCAACTGCTAAGTCTCCAACGCTACGTGTGCTGCTGGCGGTAGCTGCTGTGCGCAAATGGAAGGTGAAGCAGATGGACATCGTAACCGCTTTTCTGTATGGCATTGTGGAAGAGGAGGTATACATGGTTCAACCACCTGGCTATGAGGATGGAACCGGTCGTGTCTGCAAACTTAACAAGGCCATCTATGTACAAGTGGTATCAGAGCCCATTATCACGCATTTGGGACCTAAATTACGATGGGAGATAAGGAGGACTCTGGTGGAGGTGATACTTCAGTCCAAGGAGGCAGCTCAACCCAAGATTCTGGCATTGCAGCACGAAGGGGAGCGCGTACAAGCCAGGGGTCACTGCTTAAGGAGGTGCTGAAGAACTTCACCATTGAGAAGTTCTCTGGAGATGGCTATGATGATTGGGCATGGAAGATGCAGCTCTACTTTCGACAAATTGGCCTCTTGAAGCTCATGATTGGAACGGAGCCCAGGCCAAAGGAAATGGCAGAGCAAGCGGACTGGGATGAACGTTCATCTGCTGGGTATTATCTACTGTCACAAAGCTTGGAGCTGAACCAGAGGCATCACATCATGCATCTGCTACCGGAAACTGATTGTGGGCCCAAGGCATGGGCAGTGCTCAAGGACCTGCACGCTCCGACATCGGTTGCCGCTTCTCTCATGCTGGATCGGGAGCTGTCCATGCTGCGGTTGAGCGAGAATGAACCTGTGCAGCCCGTTCTGGACAAGATGAGGGAACTCTACGCGAAATTGGCGATTGCGGGCATCACGTACCCTGAGCAGACTAAGTGTCTCAAGATGCTCAGCCTGCTGCCCGAGTCTTGGCTGCAATTTATAAGCGGACTCAGCTTGCCACAAAACCAAAGTCAATGGACATTGGAGTGGATTCGCACCAAGATTCTGGAAGAAGATTTTCGTCGCTACACACTGCGCGGAGGTGATGACAGCACCAGCGGCTATGCCATGCAAGGGACATGGAGGGATCGAGGGCGTGGCAATCGCGGTCGCTCTTACTACAGCCAAGGTGGTCGCGGGACTTGGAACCAGCGGGGGCGTGGTGGCGCTGGTGCAAGAGGAAGAGGTGGTCACTCCAACAATGACAACAGTGAACCACGCTTGAGGGGAGAGTGCTGGTATTGCAAGGAAGAAGGGCATCCATGGTTTCGCTGCTCTACCAAGCCCGACTGGTGGACCCCTTGGAACCAATCACAAAAGGGGAATGGAGGAAAGCAACCACGTGGAGGTGCCAACATGGTAGCTGATCCTGCTGAAGAAACCTCCAAGGATGACAGAGGAATGGGAAATGAGGAGAGGAATGCTGGACAGTTCTACCATGTGTGTGACAAAGATGACAGTGGCACGGCTGTTGCAAGGGCTGGAGAGGAATTGCACCCGCTTGACATGTGGGTCATGGACTCTGGTGCTGCATGGACAATGACACCACTCAAGGATTTGCTGGATGCTGTGCGAGCGCCTCCAATCTCTGAAGTGCGCTCAGCATCCGGACATGCAGTGAAGGTCGCTGGAGTTGGTCGAGCTGCATTCAGAGCACCTGATGGTGGACTGGTTGTGCTGAAGGATGTGTTACTCGTACCGGGGCTGAAGGCCAATCTGATATCGCTGCGCAAGCTAGGCCAGGCCGGAGTCAGCACCACCACCAATGGATCCAAAACATTCAAGGGGCTGCAAGGAGATCGTGTGTTATGGGATTTACACGAAAGCAGGGATGTCTTCAGATCCATGTGGCAGATCCCTGCGCTGATATGGGAATCAACAAAGAAGGAGCTGGGAGTAGTAAAGGCGGGATCTGGAGTCCAGGGGGAGTGCAATGCAGTTAGTGCTGCAGGAGTGATGGTTTCTGCAAGGTCGGGGGAGACTGATTGGGAAACCGCACACAGGCGTCTAGGGCATGTGGCTATGCCATTGCTGCAGCAACTGCATAAGGAAGAAGCAGTAAAGGGGCTGAAGCTTTCTAGGCAACCAAATGATACCAAGTGCGAGACGTGTCTGCTGAGCAAGTTCACACGGTTCCCCTTTCACGGCGTAGCTGGGAAAAGCAAGGCAGCATTGGAACTGGTGCACATGGACCTGGTAGGACCTTTTCCAGTTCAAGGAAGAAAGGGGGAAAGATACTTCCTAACAATAGTTGATGACTGGAGCCGGCTGATGTGGGCATACCCGTTGAAGCAGAAGGATCATGCTGCCTCAACAATACGAGATGACTGGCTGCCGTTCGTCGAGCGACAATCTGGGCAACCATGCAAGAGCATCAGAACCGACCGAGGTGGAGAGTTTCTAGGAGGAGATCTGACTGCGTGGCTCAAGAAACAAGGCATTGAGCATCAGCTAACAACGTCCTATACCCCTCAGTCAAATGGCGTTGCTGAGAGGGCTAATAGGACCATCCTGGAAACTGCGCGAGCGCTGCTGATCGAATCAGGGCTGGGGAACTCCATGTGGCCTCATGCGGTGAGGCATGCTACAGTGGCAAGGAACCGCGTACTCACAAAGGTAGCTGATGATATGTGGGTGCCGCTGGAGAGGTGGCTTGGAAAGAAGCCTCCAGTGGACATGCTCAGAGTGTTCGGATGCATGGCAGTGGCGCATGTCCCTAAACCGTACAGGACAAAGCTTGGAGCATCTGCACTGTGGTGTGTGCACCTTGGGCTTGCGGCAGAGAGCAAGGGGTGGCTACTCTGGGAGCCCTCAAAGAATGTGCTGTTTGACAGTCGGGATGTCAAATTTGTGGAGAACATCATGTATGGCAAGTGGGAGAAGCAGCCGGAGGCAAGGGTCACCCAGCAGCTGGAAGAGATCACTATGCACTTCGATTTGTCCGAACCTGAGGACAGCGAAGTCACTGCGCCAACGGCAAGCGGTACTGATGAAGGAAGCAATGAGGATATTGCAGCTGATGCTGAAGTCAAGGATCCGGAGCAGCAGCAGCAAGAGGCTTCCAAAACACCAAGTCTGCCAAAGCGAAGGAAACAGATTGGTGGGGGGACAAAGGATTGGGTGAAGGTGAAAGAATGGGTAAATCCAACCATCTACCCTGCACGTACCAGAATGGCAACAAGAAAGCTGCTGAGCTCTACAAGTGAAGGAGCCACAACTGAGCAGCAGGAACAGGCTCAAGGCGAAGATACAGTGCTGTTCTTGGGTGATGACCAAGAGTCAGATGACGAAGAGCCTGCATACTGCTTTTACGCACCAATACAACCTCCGAGCATGGATCATGCGCTAGCCGGGCCTCAACGGGGGAAATGGCTCGTTTCAAGAGATGCAGAGTACAACAGCCAGATGGAGAACCACACATGGGACCTGGTGTACTTGCCAAATGGGAAGAAGGCAATACAGTGCAAGTGGCTGGCAAAAAATCAAGACGGATGAGAAAGGAGAGCCATCAGTTTACAAGAGCAGGCTGGTGGCAAAGGGGTTTCAGCAGAAAGCGAAGGAAGATTACAAAGAAGTGTTTGCCCCAACTGCTAAGTCTCCAACGCTACGTGTGCTGCTGGCGGTAGCTGCTGTGCGCAAATGGAAGGTGAAGCAGATGGACATCGTAACCGCTTTTCTGTATGGCATTGTGGAAGAGGAGGTATACATGGTTCAACCACCTGGCTATGAGGATGGAACCGGTCGTGTCTGCAAACTTAACAAGGCCATCTATGTACAGGTCTTGCATCAAGACTGCTCCCACTGCCTGGTCACTGGTGTCAGCTTCGATTATGTAGTCGCGTTCGGGATCTGGCAAGATGAGTACCGGGGCGGTCGTGAGTGCTTGTTTCAGCTGCTCCACGGCTTCCATGTGCTTCGATTCCCATTTGTAGGGCGTGTTCTTCTTCAGCAGATTCGTGAGTGGTGCTGCGAGTTTCGCATACTGTGGCACAAACCTGTTGTAATAATTCGCGAAGCCTAGGAACCGCTGCAACTCCTTCACGTTCTCGGGTGTCTTCCACGTACGTATGGCTTCGATTTTCTTGGGGTCGACGTGAACTCCTTGAGCGCTCACCATGTGTCCTAGGAACTGGACCTTCTCAAGGGCGAATTCGCTCTTGGACAGTTTGACGTAGAACCGTTCTCGTTGAAGAATCTCGAAGACGCGTCGCAGGTGTTCAACGTGTTGCTTCATGTTGCGCGAGTAGATGAGGATGTCGTCCAGGTACACCACCACGCACTCGTCCAAAAGTAGTCGTAGAATGTGGTTCATTTCGGCTTGGAACATTGCCGGTGCGTTGGTGAGTCCGAACGGCACTACCAATACTCGTACGATCCATACCGAGTTCGGAAAGCAGTTTTGTGGATAGAGTTGTCCGCCATGCGTATCTGCCAGTATCCGGACCGCAGATCCAGTTTGGAAAATACCGTAGCTCCCCGAAGCTGGTCAAGCAGGTCATCGATTCGCGGTATCGGATATTTATTCTAGATGGTCTGCTTGTTAAGAGCTCGGTAGTCGATGCACATGCGCAGGCGAAGACTGGTCGTGGGGTGGAGATTTTCCCCCATCATTTCCTCCTTCTCGCGTCGAATCAGCTTCGTCGAAGTTGATTTTCCCGGGATCCCGCGGCCGTTTTCAGATCTTTTCTTTCTCGCCAGCTAGATCCGCGATCACTGGCGACTCCCGTTTTTTGTCTTCTGATTGGCCGAAGAAATTCCGCCACTATTGCGTGCCCGATACTCTGCGCGTGCGGTTTTCATTTTGTTGCAGTTGAAGATCCGATGACTTGGCACCCCGCAAAAATCACACGTGTAGTTGGTGTTTTTATGGACGTGGTGGCCCCTCTAATCTGTCGACTTCCATCGGGTCGGCGAACATGGGGTGAGCCGAGCGGTCGCCTTGTCGCGTACTGCCGACGTGCGTCCGTCGTGTCCCGGCGTTGACCATGTCGAAGCGCTCCGCTTCCGAAACGACGTCACTGTAGCTCGCGTAGTTTGACGCTGCCACTTGTCGTTTGACTTCGGTCTTCAGCCCGGCGAGGTACAACTGCACTTTTTCCCCTTCGGTCAGATCGGGAATGCGGTTATAAAATTCCTCCATCTGTTGCGTGTACTGCGCTACACTCCCGAACTGTCGGTGTCGATGATTTTTTTCCCGGCAAGGAAACTCGAATTTATCAGCTCGAATCGTTTCAGCAGGTCGGCGCGGAACTGCTGCCACGTGGCTTCACCGTGGATGAAGGTACTGTTGCCGCCAATCCACTCGAGTGCCGGCCCTCGCATCAGTGTCGCCGCGAGACGTACGCGTTGACCGTCCCAGCCTGGCGAGCTCCATCCGACGGCTGCGAAGTAGATCTCCATCCCGGCGATCCATCTGCGGACGTCGGAGTTTCGATCGCTCGGATCGAACGGCTCAGGTGGGCGCGGTTTCGGAGCCTCGAGAAACTGCTGCGAATGCTGCGTCGTCGCCGTTGTCGAGTCGTGCTGTGCTCCGGCGAGTCGAGTTACTCGCTCGAACTCGTTTCGCCACGCTTCGCAATCCGCTCGCATTTCCTCCTGAAGGGCTGCGATGCGCGCGAAGAGCTGCTGGGTAACCTCAGCGTTGTCGAGGGTTGCCATCCTGTTCAAAACACGCGCGGGGGGGGTAATTCGAAAAAACGCGGAGCTGGTGCTTACCAGAATCGGCGTCGAATTGGTCGCCCCCCAGCGGTTTTTCGAGGCAGGTTTTCCCGCTGCTGCTGCTTTGTTGAGCGCGGCAGAGTGAGAAAAGCTCTGATTACCAAGTGTCACAGGATCGAATGTGTCGAGGAAAGGTTGCACTATCGATCAGTACAAGGCGCTTTTATACTTCCAGAGTACATCAGGTAACCAGGTTTATCTTATCCTAAGGGAATAGACCCTTCTAGAAGATAGAATCACCCTGCGTATAGCCACGCGAGGCTATTGGCTTTAAGGGATTACGGCAGGATTACGTCAGATAGCGCACCAGTACATCCCAAGCCTGGTCGGTGATATAATTAGAATAGCAGGATAAACTAAAGGTTAATGGAAAATGGAGAATATGAAAGTTAATGAGGTGGGATAAAAAGAGAAATGAAAGAGGAAGGAAATAAGAAAAGGGACAAGTGGTGTAACGGGGTCGTACTCTCACAGAAAGGGCATCGACAATGTTATTTGCCCCCCTTTTGTAGTTGATGCGGTAGTGGAAGTTGGACTCGAGATATTCGAGCCAACGGATCTGTTGTGGATTGAGGGTCGGTTGGGCTCGGAGGAACTGTAGGGACTTGTGGTCTGTTCGGACAGTAATGTCAGCACCTGATAGGTAGCAGCGCCAGGTTTTGAAAGCGTTGACGATCGCGAGCATTTCTTTGTCGCGAATCAGGTAATTCCGTTAAGCGCCTTAGAGTTTCCGCGAGTCGTAGGCGATTGGCTGCAGGCCTTCGCCAAAGTCCTGTAACAGTACCGCGCCATCAGCAATATTGCTGGCATCTGTAACCAGTTTGTAGGGGATCAGGGCAGGCAATACGAAAAAAGAGTGGTGCCATTTTCGAGATAAAGCGGCTCACTTAGTTGACGAACCCCAGAAAACTCTGCAACTCTTTGACGTTCATAGGCGGTTGCCAGTTGCGAATGGTGTCGATTTTTTTCGTGTCAATTTTAACGCCTTCGATGGAGATGACATGGCCCAAGAATTCCAACTCCATCTTTAGGAACTCGCACTTACAGCGTAGAGGGTAAAAACTGCTTCCAGGTCCTTCAAATGTTGTTCCCGCGAGGTGCTGTACACCAGGATGTCGTCCAGGTAGACGATGACGCACTTGTCCAGTAGCGAGCGGAAGACTTCTTTCATGGTCAGCTGGAAAGTTGAGGGTGCGTTCGTCAAACCAAATGGCATTACGGTATACTCGTAACTTCCGTAACGGGTTCGAAAAGCAGTCTTCGGAATATCCGCTTCGGCGACACGAATTTGGTGGTAATCATCTCGTAGATCAATCGTGGAAAAAATCCTGGCCCCGCGAAGTTGGTCGATGAGATCGTCGGCTCTCGGAATCGGGTAACGGGACTTGATGGTGATGTTGTTGAGCGCTCAATAGTCGGCACACATCCGAAGTCCTCCGTCCTTTTTGGGGGTGAAGAGAATCGGCGCGGCATAGGGTGATGTGGATGGGTGGATGAAAAATTTCTCCAGCAGGTAATTCAGTTGCATACGCAGCTCCATCAGCTCCGGTTGCCTCAGCCTCCATTGTGATCGGACGGTCGGTTGCGCTCCAGGTTCTAGCTCAATCTTGTGATAGTGTGGTTGTTCGGGTGGTAGGCCGGCCGGTAGGTCATCAAGGAAAATCTTCTCGTACTTGCGCATGAGCTTCGCCCGATCCTTAGGTATAGCAGCACACACCTTCTCCAGGTCGGTCTGTTCAGCTACCTTCGTTGATGCGATCCATCGGAACGCGTATACGTCCACTCCACGTGCCATCATAGGGCTAAATACAAGCACAGCTAGCCTAGCAAGAGAGCCTCGAGGAAGGCCACGAAACACAAGCGAGGTGGTTTGGGGCGCCTCGGGACTCGGAAGTGTCGGATGCGACGCCGCATCTCGAACGTAGTTCGAACCTGAATTGTCGGGCCGTGCCTGGACTTCCGAAAGTCAGGGCTGTACTTGATGATAGGGAGGCTCTATAAGGAAAAGGGATTTTCCTTACATGCCCAACTTCATCTCCAGTGTCGCAGCATTTGTGCCATCAGACACCTCACCCCGCGGCGCCAAACGAGGGTACACTGCAACAGCTTATGTTCCCGCCGCTCCCATTCTCCACCCGCCGCTCTCAAGAGTCCAAAATAATACGGTTAGGTGTGGTGGTTTACCAAGAGGGCAATTTCGTCTACAGCTATGAGCGGTTAGATAGGGTTCGGAGGCTCGATCGAGCAGCTTCTTCCGCAGCTGTGAGCAACCCTCTTTACAAGCTCCCCCTCAGTGTGTCGCCTCACCTGCCTGATGAAACAAGCACTCACCTTATATCGGGGCATTTAAGCTAATTTTCCGTGCATTGCCTTGGTACAGTATGCCAATCTAGTCGGCCTTTCTCAATGGAGTCAAATCATGCGCTCTTCTTCAGGGCAGCATAATGCTTCATTTGCATTAGGTGTCTTAGTAGGCTTGCTTGAGCGGCGTCTAGGTTCCTATTTGTACCGCGTTTAGAGTTCATGATAGGTGCGTGACGTGAACTCGCGGGAGTAAGATAATAGTGCCCTACTTTCTGGGCTTTTCTCGTGAACAGCATAGCTAGTTGTTTTGTAATTACATCGCAAAGATGTGGGCAGAGTTTTTGGTGGTATAGCATCGATAGCATATGGACGATGGGTGGTTAGCGGGTGTTTGCCAAGCACCCCGTAAATTGGGCAGGGTTCTACCCAAAACTGTCCCTGTTCCGAGATCTCCATCTACCATAGTGCACAGTCGAAACTCTATGCTACAGTGGCTACCTAGATTTGGTGGTGGATGGTGTGGCTCGGTGGGAGAACATACGGAATGCCGAGTGGTGTCGTGTACTAGAGGGTGGC